GTTATTATCCATGACTGACCTGTAATTAGCATCCACTATCGTACAATAATATCTGGCTGACATCCGTGTCCTCAGTGGAGAAAACACATCCCCACAGTATAATGCTGCCATGACCGTGTTTTAATGTAGGAATCATTCTTGGTATATTCTACAAAGCTTTCCACTAAAATAATTGACTTTGTCTAGTTCCAGGTTTTGATCATGAATCTCTTCTTAATTATAATGAGAGTTAAAGTATCATCAACCTTTACCTCTCATCTTTGTTATGTTATTACTTTGCCATATTTTTATAGCCTGTGCCTTGTCATATTATAATATATACACTTCTGCATCCCGTTTAAACAAAAAGAAAGAAAGAAAGAAAGATGGACAGACAGACAGAAAAAGGAAGAAAGGAAGATGCAAAATGCAAAGGATTGAGGTTTTTTACCTCCATCTGTTTTACAGTAACAAAAATGAAGGAATCTGCAAAATCTAAAAACAAGTAAACCGTTTTAATAAACATTTCAAATAATGGCTTTAAAGAGTAAACATGACTGTAAAAGGACTCTTAGAGCCAATACCAAGCTCTAAGACAGGAGAATATCATCTGAAAATTGTGTCACTACAGAACAGCTGCAATTAAATCCTCTTAGCAGATTCTCTGCAAATTAAATCAAACAATTCCACATAAAACAATAAAAACAACAAATCAAAAGGTACCAAAGGAGTTTGTTTTGTTTCTAAAAAAGAAGCTGTTAACAGTTAGAGTTTGAAAAAAAAATATAAATCCTAATTTGCCTGCAAAAGATGTTCAGGAGGAGCTGAGACTGCAGAGGGAGGGAACTGCTGTGTGTTATAGACAATTATGACGTTCATGGATGAGTCATAGATAGAAAACATTTCCTGCATCATGAGTTTAGTAAACATTTAACTCGGCACAGATCTTGGAAACAAGTTGTGGAGGATGAATGATACCATCCAGATTTAAGGACATGCAGATAGTGAGAAGAAGCCTGACGGAATGATAAAGAATTTAGATCTAGAGTTTAAGGCCGTATACTGTGTAACATGGAAAGCATCTTACTGGTAGAGAGGGAAAAAGTGATGATTTCAACAAAGAATCATTTGCATGCCCACTAGAAGCTGTGAAACTGTAGAAAAATATCACAGTTTCTTCTTATTCCTCCACTGCTTGCTGAGCCAAAACAGACAGTCTCTCCCCAGCTGAACATAGATGTTTTAACAAATACAAACATCTGCTGTTTTTCAAATACTAAAATGTTGATATCTATTTAGCCTCAAAGGCTGACCTGTGCATTAGAGAGTAATTTAACAGGTAAAGTATTCTAACAAAACTTTGTAAATGATGTTTATTGCATCTATTTTGAAAATGAATAAAAAAACAAAAATGACTATCAAGGAAAAACTTCCCTAGAGGCAAACATTAAACCTAAAACAATGTCTTACAGACAATTTTCATCAAACCCAATTGTTTCATTTGCCATTTTTAAACAAAAAAGAAAAGGCAGACACCCTGTCTACTTTTAAGG